TTTTTTTTTTTTTTTACTTTTTTGGAATTAATTATTTGTAGGATATTTTCATAAAGCTGACTCAGTCAGTTTGTCTGGGTTATTCTGTTGTAATTTGGTTTTCCTGAAGCTGGCGCACTCTGAGCCTGACTCGGTTACTATGGCATTCCACCCAGTGAACTAAACTTGGTGGGGCCCGGTTTAGAGGCAACAAAGTTCAAACTATGTGTCTGCTTTGTTTAATCCAGCAGCAGGGGGTACAATAAGTGACAGAGAGGGAATCGGTGCCATCTTTTGGCCCAAATGCAGGGTGTCATCAAAAACAGAACAACTTATAATTTACATATCATTAAATTAATTTCCTGCTATATCATATTATGTGTAACATTTTATTCCAGCAAATATATATTAATGCTAAATTGTGGAATTTAAAAATTAAATACACAAGAAGGGTTAATTAGCTGAACAAACAGAACTGGAGCTCAGATCAGATCCCACAGAACTGCTCCAATCATGTCCTAACTGTTCCTCAGACACTTTGCACTAATAAGCTGTGTTTGAACAACTGTCATTATGAACACATAAGAAATTGTACATTTGTGATATGCTTTCCATTTCTGGCAGATACCTTAGAGTTTTAAATTATGTTGAAATCCATGTTTCTGCAGGGTTAAAATTTCCTGTTATATCTGCTCAACTGCCTCAAAAAAAATTAATCTGAGAGAAATATGTTTGTTTTATAAAGTGTTGATTTGTGTAACTTCTAAGGCGATGGATGGATGATGGATGGCAGAGCATACTTCCCAAACAAGCCAATGACAGTGAGCTAAATGTCCTTTATTCAGATCAAAACAGGAATGGAGATGCTTTAAAGTCTTCAACCACAGTAGTGCATTTGGGAGGTAATCTGGTCCATAGAATCTGACCAATCAGGTTAAGCATTAGTTATAATCTGTGATAAGGGGCAGGTCCGAGAAGTGGATTAAAGCAGCATAGAAGGCTCTAACAACAGGAGCTCCTGTATGAGAGAACGTCCAGAGTAGAAGATGGAGTCCCCTTCTTCACCCGTCCTCTTCTGTGTCTCACTGGTCAGCAGTGGCTCAGCTGCAGGCCGAGGCCCGCGCCTCCAGGAAAACGAAGAACCCCAGGGAGTACGCAGGAAGCTTCACATGTCCAGCTGCAGGTAGCCGAGCACCGCTAAGATCGGGGAGAGTTTTATCGTCCACCATCTTCAACAGGACTCCATTCAGCTGCACAGACCTAAAGGAAAACACATAAGCCTCCTTGAAGAGTCGCCATTATCCTGTTATTCAATGAAGTGAACTCTAAATGAGAGATAATACAGCTGGGAGGGATGAAAAAGAAGCTGGACCATTCTGACAAATGCTACTCTTAAAGGGCCAGAGCGTAACAAGAAGATGACTCCCTGAATGAAAATCCTCTTAATAAGGCTGATGCACCACTAGATGGCGCCACACTCCTGATCAGCCACATCTGCAGGACTTTGTGAAGGACTCCTGCTACCCTACAGATAACAGTCTATCTGGGATGCAGCTAAAAGCGCAGTGCATCATGGGAAGGACCTCTGACCTGAGTCAGCTTTAGAGTCAAACACAAGCGCTTTAGTTCTGCTGACATCAGCGAGCCTTCGCAACCAGAACGCAACCATGTGGCTAATCCTGAGGAAGCACCGTGCTTAGGAGGAGAATGCGCTGATCTGACTGCTGCCCTGTGTGTGGCGGTGGCCGATCCCAGTTTCACCATTACGCTTTTTCACAGACTCTACAGAACAGAATGATGTGGGCCCTGAAACGGGGGCGGAGCTAGATGGGGCGCCACGGGGGTCCCTACCATTTTTTCCCGCTAATACAGACGGTGGCAGCAGTAATACTCTGAAGTGGAACATTCTAACCTATTTAAAATTTACATTTTTCATATATTAACAGTTACAGGACAACAAAAACTCTGCGGTTAATTATGCTCATCAATAAACTAACATAAAAAGATACAGAATTCAAACAGAAACTTATGTCTTTAGAAGTCATCTAGCAGGCTTCAGTGAAATCAGAGATAAATAACTACTTAAATGATAAGTAATCAATTTAATGTAGATATTAGAAGTTTTAAATATTAATTTCATGCAGAACGATTATTGATCAAACTATGTAAGTAACGACACTGATTAAGATGGCCGCCCCAAAACTCAAACTTCAAAGATGAATTTTCTCCTTTACACCTTTAATTTAGACAGCATGGATGTTTAAATATATGCGTCTATTTGTTAGCAAAGGCTGCAGGAAAGTATAGTTAAGCCTGATTTATACTCAGAAACCGGTCGTCTGTGTCGCAGTTAACGCAGATATTCTCCCCCCTTCCGCAGACACTCTGGTGCACCTCTCCAAAATTGTAGGTGACCGCAAACAGATAGGAGGCCTCTGATTGGTCAAATCTACATCCGCTCTATACTATGCGTATGTCCTGTTTGGTAACTAATGGCTGTAGCGCCGTCCACAACGCCTGGCACACCTGACACTAAGCCAGACACCGTACAGGACGCTAGTTCATAGCTCTGTGCAACTTCTGTTGGTTTGCACCCGAAGCCAAAACACGCAGCCCCAAGGCCAGTCTTTGGGGAACACTGACGGGTGAACTGTGTGTCGTCCCGCGTTGGATGAGCGGTTGTAGACAAGCTCGTCAAACCGACACACGGACACCCACAATCCTAGCTAGTTCCTGATTGTCCCTCTTGCGTTGTGGCGTGGAATAACGTAGCGCGGACCATGCTTCAACATTGGAAATGAATCAAAAATATCTGCGTCATACCTGTGACACACTGCAGCGGGAAGATACGCAGCCCTTTAGCCTTTATTTAGAAAATATGGATCATGTGATTCCGTAAAAGTTTCAAAAACGATCCACTGGACTTGGTTTCCAAGGTTAGAAGACGTTTCGCTTCCTCTCCAGGAAGCTTTCTCAATTCAAATGTCTGGATCCGCAGTGAGTTTGAGTCTTTATATAGACAAGGCCTTGTATCGCTTGGAAACATGCAAATGGAAACCGATGAGCGGGTCGTTTGGTTCCATTGTTAGCCTGTAATACCTGAAACCTGTCTATGATTCTGAAGGTCGGTCGTTAAAGGAGGGATTGTTCACCTGGTTGAAGAGGGGAGGTACTTTGTTCCTCTGTGATCACAGAGGAACAGTTGGAAACAAAGCCCAGTGGATTGTTTTTAAACTTTTACAGAATGACTATGACCTGGATGACTGAGAGTCTTCATCAGCATGGATGATGTGGTTGATCATTTTCCTTTTGGAGCAGTGTAGATTGACCCTGAGGCAGACATGGGCAACGTGGAGTCAACAAGTCATCTCCATGTCATGTATTTGTTCTACGCAGCCACTGAAGCAGGTGAGTCCAATCTTCACCATGAAGTAACCTGTGCAGATTGGACTCACCTGGTTAATTGGCTGGGTAGATTAAATACATGACATGGAGATGACTTGTTGACTCCACATTGCCCATGTCTGCCCTGAGGTTTCAGCGCCTATCCGCTTTGGGCCACCCCTCACTGTACATTGGTTATTGCATGGCCACCCTTATTAACATTTTCTGGCTACGCCTCTGCCCTGAAAGCACCTTAGATGTGTTCTCATCCACACCTAGCCACTCCTGAAAGGATGCAACCAATGAGCTTGAGATTCTCTTCCTCTTCCCTTTCCAATGTACAGCAATCATCACCAGGGGCGCATTTAGGAAATTTGGGGCCCTAGGCAAAGAAAGCCAGTGGGCCCTCTGAACTGAGAAGGCAACAAATA